ACAAACCTAAATCTTCTACTTTTCATTCATGAAACTCTGTATTTTTCTTTTCCAGATTATTTAGTCAGATCATCTTGTAAATTGCAACAATGGACATCTGCATTCTGCCTCAATTGCTACAGTATTTACTAAGATTTGGAAAAAAAACTACAGCAAAACTGCTTAGCACTACATTAAACTCAGTTTATACTATTGTCCTATTTGATTTACTACTATAATTATACTACCCTATAAACAGAGGGGAGGCCACAACAGAATGTAAAAACTAATTAAAAGTTTCTGCTGAATTATCTGGCCACAGTGGGAAAAACATGCCCGTTAGTACTGAGCACTCTGTAAACAATAGCAACATATCCATTATCCCAATTAAAATTTTACTTAAAAGCAGTGGTTTTGAGCTCCCATTCCACTTGCCTTTAGGAACACTCTCACAACAGAACCTACTCAATTAGAAAATGGATTAAGCCAGAAGTGTGTTTTCTGAAGCAATGACAAATGCATACTATGACCTTGTGTTTTCAACTCAACCTAGCATTAAAATTGAGAAAACTCCATCCCTTATCCTTTGTGTGAGATCTTCTGAAAAGAGAAAGGAAGAGCGAAGTCACATCTGCAAGTTTAAAAAAAAAAACTCCAACAAAAATAAAAACAAACAAAAAAACCATCAAACAGAAAACCAAGCACTGAAAACATGCTTAGGGGTTTACCATGTCTAGTAGCTGTTAGCAGCAGGACTACACAGGTACTTATACATTTATATTTTATACATAGTCTCTCCTCTACAGCTCTTACCTCAAGATAACTACACTAGGGCATACATAGGTCTAAAAAAATCTAAACTCACGTCTGACAGCATCTTAAAGGTCCCTACGCTTCCCAGTTTCCTAATCACAATCTAAAGCTGAAGTTAAGTGTGCACCAAATATTGGACACCAAAACCAAGAGATGATGCCTCCTTTTCCTCAGTTTGGGGGGTTATAGCAAGAAACTGCATCCAGTTGTTCATACTCACACATTTTTCAAGAACTCCCTATCTTTTGAAGCTGTCACTTCCTCTATGTAGCTGAAATTGGCTAATGGATTTTAAAATTGTGGCACTAGTAGAGGAAAAAGTGATGACAACATCACCACAAAGGCAGAAAAACAACAGCCTCATTTCCTTATCATATTCAGCTATTATTTCTGAAGTAATATAAAACTGCCATATAGACATTTTCACATGTGAGAATGTAATACTTCAGGTTATTTAAAGAGAGTACAGAGCTAAAAATAATTTTAAAATATCAAATATTCTGCAGTCTCCAGTGGGTATATCCCCAGCTGCAAACAAAATTACTGCATCTTAAAACTCAATATGTCACATGATAGAATTGGCACAAGGTTTAATATTATCCACAGGAAACACTTATAAGACAGGTTGATTTTAATTTTTTAAGAGAACAATGGATAAGAAATGCTTGCAAGGTTGAGGTGTTTAAATCCATTTCAAAGTGAAATGGATGTGTGGATAGACTGCTTGCATGGTCTGTGCTTTGTATCATGAAGGTCTGCACTTTATCAATTTAATATCCTACATAAAGTATATCCAGTGTGACAATTTAGAGTATTTATCTGTAGTATTCTTGATGCAAGTTTGCCACACAAAACCAGCACAATGCTGAATGCCTACATATATATGTATATACATACATACACTGAGCTATACTGGATTTAATCGCATTCCTTCTATAGCAGGATTAAAAATTTATGAACTTGAACTTAAATAATACTCACGCAGAAAACAGTTGGTTTTGTCTTTTCGTTGCATCATCAAAAAAGTGAGGCAATTCAGGAAATGCAGGTTACAATTGCATTCCACAGTGTAAAACAAGGCCTGGTTAGAAGCAGATCAGAGCAAGAAAGCTGCAGGCTAGGGAATCATCTCAGTGAACAACAGTCCCCATCCCTGTAAAGTCCTGGGAGTTTTAAGAGACGCTGTCAAGCACCGTATCATCCCCTGATGAACCATGAATTCACTATGATGTGCCACGACACTGTGCTTCCATCTAACATAGAGCTTATGTAGAGACTCCCTCCTACAGTAAGTTTCTACTAAGGGATTAATTTAACATTAAACCTTTAGAAACAAGTCATTGCACAGGTTCCAGCTCTGCACTCCGTGAACCCAGATGGAAACCTTCTGATAAAACACAGCACTCACAGTTCAAACAAACTCTTAAAGCTTAGAAACACACAAGTGAATCAAATGGCAGCAGCGTGGAATAGTATGTGCCTTGCATAAAGTCTACATAATAATTCCCATTTTCAGAAGCATCTAGCATTACATTTTGTACTGCAGAGATAATTATTTTAATTTCAATTCCTTATCTAGACAAAATAATCTATTTCCCTCCAAGTTTCTAATGTGCATCCAAAATGAGACTTGAAGCAGGTCAGTTTGAAGTGGGAATGAATATGAGATGAAGCCTCTGAATAAATAATTTGATTTACTGCCCTTTACATAGAACACACCATTCATCATGTGAAACCCTTTGTGAGAAATACAGTAAACTCAGGTTGAACCTTCGGACACACTTTTTTTAAAAACTTCCAAAACGCAGTCTAAAAGTTTAGTGATTTTTTTATTTATTTTTTTTTTACTTTTGATTGAAATTTCAAAAGTAGATTTGGGATGTCGATATCTTAAATAATTTTTTAATCAATATTTCTTGGATTATTCAGTACTTCATACTCATGCCCTTCTTCAGAAAACTGCACCTGGATTGAAGGTAGAAAAGAAGCCGAGCAAGTGAACGTACAGTACTTGAAATTTTCAACAGATGGCACTTTATAGCAAGGAATTTATAGTGTCTAATTAAAAGCGAGCAAAAGCAACTGGATGGCTGAATGCGTCAACATGACAACATCTGCATATGAAAAAGACCAATATCCTTAAATTTTAAAGTAAAGTTCTATAAAATTGAGAGTACAAACAGGACATCTAAAGGCAAACAAAAACTCCAAAGTAACACTCTATCGTAGATAGCAAGCACACCAAGATGTTCTTGATAAAGGCCAGATATTCCCATCTTCTTTTCTCAGGCAGAATATATAGGTAGAGTTCAATTTAAAGATATAAAACAAAAAAAAAAAAAGGAAAAACAAACACATGACTGTCAGACAAGGTCCGAACAGAGAATTCTTTTAGTGTTATGATTTAGTCAAGTCTTGTGCAAAACTTGACAGGCGTTTTGATGTCTGAAGACACACACATTTTTAGAACCATTTATGAGTTAAATAAACAAGAGGCCTGGGAGCATTTTTGCCTCTGAGTTACAATTCAAATTGCACTTATGTTGTTTGTCAGTATTATCCAAGCGGAAGGTGTTTACTAATGAGAGTCGTCACAAAAGGCAAACTGAGAATGGTATTTAAGGAAATCCATGGGGACATAATAGTTATCTTAAGTTACCAAATCAGTAGTTATAGAGGAAAAAGTCACTCTGAGATACACAGAGAAAGGACAAAAAGCAATTGACAGAAGTTTCAGCACAGGAAATCGCAATTAGACAAGTTTTCATAACTGAACTAGTGGAGTATTTAAACAGGCTACCCAGAGTATGTGAAGCCCCACCTTTGGAATTATTCCAAACCCAGGAAGGCCCTGAGCAAATTCATCTAGCTTCAGCAATAGCCCTGCTTTGATCACTATGTTAGACTACAAGAACACCAGTCCCCTTAAGGAACTAGTAGGATTCAAAGTTTTTCAGTAGGAAATGCTACACAAAAGGATAAGAACTAACACCACGCCCTCAGAGAACAACTTCTGATACTCCCTCTGCTATGACTGATCCATATTCTCTCCAATTCCAAAAAACAATCCTTCTCACAAAACTAAACAACACTACTTGCTTTTACCCTGTGATTATGTGTTCTCAGCATGATACAGGAAGCTCTTTTTCTAGTAAAGGACTGATGACTGACTTCTCTTTCTGAAATAAGCACAAGAAGTTTGATTCTGAAGTCACTTTTCAGGTGTAGGACTTGGCCAGTGGATAATATTTCAGTTTTCTAAGTCAATTTGTATAGGATCAAGTCAGCAGCCACAATAAATCAGCACTTCCTACACTAGACAAATATAGGTTAGATGTTACCATCTAATAATATCCAGTAGTGTTAAATATATTAATATCCATAGGCATTAGGTAGCATGCAAAAAAAAATTTCTTGTATGTCTGAGTTGAATCCTTAAAGGGATATGAAGTCTTGGAACAAACAAGGTTTTGTAGGCACACAACTATATCCAAAGGTTTTATGAAACGTTATTTGTCCCAGAAACTTTTCCTGGAATACTTGTAAATCTATCCTTGGTACATAAATATCACTAGAAATTCCACTCTGAATTTGAAGCAGAGAGGTCTGTTAATCAAGTTAGCCCTAAAAAAAAACCTTCAGGTATAAAAAAGGATAGTGTTATACCTCTGCAACATCCTGCAATGCCAGGGCTGGGTCACAACGTGCCATGATAGCTGTATTCTTTTCTGTTCCTGAAGGAAGCATTCTCTCTCCTGATTGCAATCAAAAAATTTAGACATATAAAAAACTCATTCAACAATCAAGAAGCAAACAAGAAGCAGTGAAAAGAGAGCAGAAATGCAGAAACTACAGAAAACTGAAAGATTTCAAATCAGATATGGGGCTCGTTAGCCTTAGCACTCTCATGAAAACACCGCTGTAATTTTAGCACATTTTTCTCCCCTTCATGGGCAGTAGCAAATTCATCTCTTCCACGATGAAAAACTCCATACCCCAATGAACAGAAACACAAGCCATTGCATACTTCATGTATTTATAATCAACTGTCCCGGTCACTTTACAGTTAATTTTAAGATTGAGCAATGACTTTGGTGTCAATGAAAGCCTTACTAATCTGATATTTACAAACTCTGCTCAGAATGAAAAGCTTCTCTTGTACAGCTTCATCCAACCTTAATGCTATAAAAATTTATGCCTCAATCCATTTAACTAGGGAGAGACTTCCATATATCTGATTCAGGCTGCTTCCAATCTTCTCCCATTAGTCCTTTCAGCCTCAAATCTTTGAAAAATTCCAGGCGATGACTGCAAAGAGATGAGAAATAAAAAAAAAATTTAAAGTCATGTAGTATGTGTCTTAACCAAAGGCAGTTTAATTAACCTTTATTTTCAGGTTTTGTTGGAGACGAATGTAAACAGTATTCCATGTGTTCATTTTCCAGAAGTTGAGTTTATAAATAAAAAAGCACTAGACGGTTTCTAAAAATCTTGTACTGGATAACACAGGACAAAATCCTCAGCTATGAACAGGTATCACACAACATAAAGGGAAGTTCAAGTGCTCACCTTTTAAAGTTGCCTGGCACTGCTGAGCAAGAGTACAGTGATATTCTGCTTTATGACTTATCCACACTTGAAAAGTGAAAATTTGTAACTCTTAATCAATTGAAAAAGTCTATCACAGGGATATCCTCTCCTTGCTGAACATGGGATGGCTGCATAGCATAATGAAGCTAGTAAATATATTTTATCTGTAAGACTGGAGGTCTCATTTTCTTGAAACATTATGAATCAGTTCTTGCTAAGAGAAACAATAAAAGGAAGACACTGATGCCAATTGCTAATTAAAACTTAAACAAGTGCCAAACAGTAGATCGTACATCAGACACTACACTAGTAATTTCAAATAAAAGTAACCAGAATTCTATTATTAGGAAGAAATTTGTATAGAGTAATGATAAACTAATAGCAATTAAAATAGCAAGCAGCAACTCCTTCACATAATTGTATCTGCTACCAATGTCTGAACAAGAGCAGCGTTTTTTTGGAAGGGTTATTACAGAAAAAAAGAGCAAGAATTGCTTCCTGAAAAATATTGTAAGCATTCTCCAGATAATCACAGAAAAATAAAAGTATCTATTTTTTAAAGGATGGTGATGAAGAAAATACACTTTAATAAAAATAGCTCAATATTTTTAAAATTAACGACAGTAGAATCTATGTTTTTCTTAAATAAAGGCAAAAGAAGGTACCTTATGTAAATTTACCTTACCTGGCTGTCATTCTACATGGAGTAACAAGTCAGCAGAGGTATTATAGTCTATCCTCTAAAGCTAATTTATTTATACAAATTGCCCAGAAGCAGCACTTCTTCAAATCCTCTCAGCCTCACAGTCAAAGAAAATAAACTGGCCCAAAGCACAATTTAAAAATCAAGATATGGTAGTTTTTGTATTCATACTGTGTCTCCTTTTGTTATACCTTTCAGTTTAGCCTGTCTCTTCAAATTTAACCATAATACAGAACCATCTGTAAAGGTAAAGTTGTTTAGAACAGTAGGGGAGAAGCAAAAGATTTACTAGAAATGTATCTGGTAAAATTAACACTAAATGGCATTTCAGGAGGTGCTGGAGGCAAGAAAAACATAAAACCTAAATATGATTTCGCTGAGGAAGGTGATAAAACAGATGCCAGTGGTGTTCAACACATCATTTTCTATGCACCTAGAGGATAACAAAGAAATCAAGCACTAATTACAGCTATCTGCCACAGTCCTTTATACAAAGTACAGTGCCAATGGATCTGGGGCTAAGCGGTATAATTAAAATACTAATGGCACTCAATCCGAAAATCAGATTAGCTTTCCTGAAGTATTCTGAGAATAGTGCAACTATAGAAGAGGTAATTTTATGCTTACAAATCTGGTTTCTGTCCTTCCTGTAGTTCATGCCGAGGCACAGGATAAAGCGCTTCATATGTTCTCTGTTCTCCCGAGCCATGAATTGCAAATGCGTTGAACTTGTTAATGCACGGCGGAAAATAATTCCAAGGAAGACGAGCTTTACCCTCCCATTTGGTTTTCATTCTGGTCACCTCAAATTCTAAAGGAAGTTCTTCCTGTCAAAGGAGGTAAAAAAAGTAATGTCATCTTCAAATCTGGCAAGATGCACCTAAAAAAATTTAGTTTTTATGTACATCATGAAGGTGACTGACCACTTACCTTCCATACTCTTCTTTTGCCAGAAAGCAGCAGCAGCAAGTGTTGTCCATGGCTGTCAAAAAATCAGAGCAAAACTTTGTTAAAATTATGCCAGTGTTCCTTATACATATATCTTACAAGCATTGGAACTGGAAATGCAAATGAAAATTTGTGACTTTTTCCAACAGCTGTACTTACGGACAAAGTTCAACTTCTAAATACTGCTCAGTTCTGTCATTCAGGAAAAACGCTTCTACAACTAGAAAAAAAAAAGAAGAGTCTGTCAGTATTTTATAGTAACTACTGTATATTTTATATTACTACTGTAATATCCGGAGAACTTTATACTCAACTCAAACAATCCTGTTTTCATGATTTTTGACCTGTGATGTGCCCAAGCTAAACTACCTATATAGATGCTACTGACAGTTTCCTCACCGTTCAGAACGCTGTGCCGTAATTGTAACTTCAAAGGCTGGATTTTTAATGCCTATCGTCATAGAGAGCATTATAAAGCTAATATTTACTGCACCAAATCAAGCTTTAGAAACACTCAATGCAACATAAAATTAAGACAAATATACTAATGTTAGGCATCTAGGAAGTACAAAAAGCATCATCACACAGTTTATTTCATCTAGTATGCTGGCTGCGAACAAAGCTGACCAAGAAAAATCGATCCTAGTCAATCAACAGGCACTCCATGTAGGCAGCTGGGGTGCGAAAGCCTTGTGGTTTGCTGGTAGCCTGAAGATTCAGAGCACCAGAACCAAACAAAACAAAATAAGTGAAGAGGAACAAACATGCAGAGCAGTGCAAACATGCCATAACCATAAGTGCTAAATTTCAGAAATGCTAAAAAAGCAATTTATTGCTTAAACGCTTTTTCCCTGCAAAAGGCTGATACTTTGCAAAGGGGATAACTGTTCCAAGTGTACTCGAACGCCATGTGTGACTGCTGAATCACCTTTCAGGAACATGAAATAGAACTACAAACAGTGTTTCTCACAGCAATTACATTATTAGAAAGCTTTATGATTAGTCAGTATTATGATTAGATATCATTGATAATTTTATTTTACTTTTACATAAGCCTATTTAGTATAATACCATGAAGTTGCTAATACCATCTTAATAGAGCTTTAAATCATAATAGATCAATAATCATAAAGTAGAAAACTGCTGGAAATATTGAATTCTTGCATTATTAAAAATAACAGGTAAAAATGACAGTATTGACAGGAGAAGAGACGGAAAACAGCATTGATATAAGAATAATCCCCGTACTACTTTGGGAGAATTTTATGAGCTGCTATTTCTTTGTCTCACACCTTCCTACTCCTCATATAGACTCCGGAAAAGCGATTAAAATAGACGTATACTTGAGCTACTGCTCTCTACTTTTCAAAGTGAAAATAGAACTGATCATCAGGATTTCCTTTCTATTTATCTACTGCAAATGCACTTAGATATATAGGCCACACAATTATCTTAATATTCAAATATGGAAAACCTCTCTTACTTCACAAGTTATATCACTACCCCAGAAACTAAGGTTGAGTGCCTACTGTACTGATGGGACCAGAAACAGTCAATCTCACCATTCTTGAAATCAGTCCAGCTCATTGGACTCCATTTCTTTACAGCCATCAAGTAATATAACATATTTCTTTATTTTCCCAGTCATTTTTATTTTTGCACTACTCTAAAACAACCACTCACATTGCAGTTTGTAGTGCTAGTGACGAAAATTAATTCACCACCTAAAAAAAAAAAAAGTTTGAGGTAGTGTTCAGCTGTAAATAACAATAATCCTTGTGCTATATAAGGAGCTGTTTAAGGGTAAGGCGGTGACTACAAATACATACTTTGTGAGTATTCTTTTCCAGACTGCTCTGGGTATTGACAGAAATAAAAGGAAAATTTCTTGATGCTCCAGATCTGTTTTTTAAAAGGAGTACTGTGACCAAAGAAACTGAACTGAATTAGATGTCATACATTCATAACTGTTAGATCAGCTTGAAAAAATAACTATCACAGATTCCTAAATAAAGACTAGGTATATTAACTACAGAGGAACATCGGTGTCTACACAAACTGGATATATATGCAGCAGAATAGTTGTACTTACCCTCATAGTCCCACAGTCGACTAAAAGGTTTCCCTGGATCTCCAAGTGGTGCCGGAGGATCGTTAAAGAAGGGAGCATTCACTTCCATTACCAGTCCTGCGTTGTCTGACTTCAGCCCAACAGTTATCGGCTCATGGCTCACAGGTAAACCATCCCATGTGTGGGTAATCTTAAATTCCATCTTCATATCCTACATAAACGAGAACAGAATGTTCTGTCTAAGATCTCAGATTCTATTTCAGTATTAACTGCACTGTTTGCTTGGCCGTGGAAAAAGGTACACTTTTGTAAAAAGCCAATCATCAAATCATGTTTTCAGACACCAGAAGAACTGAAATAGTATAGCTTTAATGTAACCATTTATTTGGTTGCTTTATAACGCTTTTCATAGGTTGCAAATCACTCTGAAATCTTAACAAGCTAAAGTATTTCAACTACATACCCACATAAGTATCTGCTGGTTTTGGAAGGTGTTTATCAAGAGAGAAGATGAACAAATTCTCCACTACATACTAAATGTTTTGGTAACATGAGAAAAATAGATAGAGAAAAACCTTTCATGAATTCAAGATGCAAATAAATGAAACTACTAGCTAAAGCTTTCCATTGCAGTCATTGCAAATTAAAGGACTTGAAGGAAAATTCCAAGTGCATTTTTCAAAATACACTGAATGTTTGCAGAGCAGCAACAGAGAACACTGCACCGCCACTTCTATTGTTACTTAGAAATAATTGTACAAGTCTTAAGAAATCCTTAAGAAGTGCCTTAATATATTTATTAAGCAAAAGAAACAGATGAGTCCAATTTTCAACAAGTTTACGGTCCCTTAACCCTCACCTCCTCAGCATGAGGACTTCCCACCTCCACAGTAGGGATCCTTGACTTGCTCCTTTACACATCTCCTAGCCACACAGTAAGGGAACTAGCAGTACATAGCCTGACTGACAATTAGGTACACACCTTTAGGACCAGAGAGTTGCTAGCTTAGTAGCTACATTGTAATTGCATTTTCTTCAGTGGGAAACACTAAACCCTATTATATCATCTCTACGCAGATATCCATTTTCTTGGGATGCACAGAAAGGCAAGCAGAAGTTAGGACATTCTGCAAGTGTTATCAACAGGTGTAGTACATGAGACCGAACATAAGCACACACATCACACTTCCCTGTATGCCATAGACTTGCTCTCCTGACTACCCATTAACTGCATCTCACAAGAAGGAAGTCAAACATTGGACTAGCACTTTCGACAAGGTTGTATTTATATAAACTGAAAATTAATTAAATTCTTACATCATCATTTTAACAGCATAACATGCATCACCTTGCTCTATGCAAGAGAGCTAGGGCAGCCCTAGGAACTATCAAAGGCCCTGCTGCCGTCATCAATGTTCACTCCCACTCAAGTGGCAACTTTCTGGAAGCAGTATGACACAAGCTGAAAGAAAACAAACAAAGCATGTGGGCAGAAGACACTCAAGCATCCTATCCACATTCTTAAACCAGCAGACACTGGCTCATTGTACAGTGTTCGTAGAATCTCGAACAAAGCTAAATCATCCACAGTTTAAAACGTAGAAAGAAGTATTACGAAAAAGTATTTTAAGCAAGTATAGCTACAACTTTCCTGCACTAATTACAATGTACACCACCACACAGAAGAACAATATGGTAGATATCAAGCTCATTTCACAAAGCAAGGAGCTGCTGAAACACATTTAATGGAGTATTTAGCCTGAAAGTGATCTTCAAAATACATCTACAGGAAATATATACAAGTGTTCGGGTTTTCATTTTCTAAGTTACAAACACTGAGCATAAAGCATCCACAGATGATTAGACCCTTCATAGTGTTTATTGAAATTAACAGGACCGTAGCTCTAAACAGAGCACACATGCTTTATAACAATGCACTTCCATAAAAGTGCAAGATGTTGTATCACCTACGCAAAAGAGTGAAGTTTAAGATGAATCTAAGAGTGAATCTAAGAAAGCCAACCAAGTGTTATAAACTCATTTTATACTAGACCATTAAATTAACATTATGCACTTAGAAGTCAACATTTCCTTCTATTACTCTACTTTAAGTTTGTGCTAATATACTTAACTATTTGCACTCGCTAGTCAAGGCAAATACCAAAACACTTATTTTAAAACACTACTAGATTACAAGTGTGTTTTAAAATATCATAGCCTTCTAGTGTAAGTAGCCTGGAGAGATTTTAAAATCAAGGGGTAATTACACAACTAGCTATTACAAACCCTGATTGAAGTAAGCAACGTGAAGCTTCTTTTGCACAAGACTTGCAAGGATATCTTGGGAAAAGAGTCACAACATTCCAAGTACAAAAAAAGACCACCGCAGTGAAATAGCAGAACCTGCTAAACTACTTCAGATACTGCTGTAACTGCAGTGTCTAAAGTGACATGAGACATGGATGTCTCTTTTTGGCGAAAATCCTAATTCCTTGCAGGGACAGCTTAAAATGTACTTAACATACTGATGATTTAGTCCATTATTGTAAACTGGTATCGCTCCTGAATAGATAAACAGGCAATTTTAAGAACCACCATAAAGTAATAAGGTTGCTTAATTAGAAGTACAGTAAATCTACGATTTTCCCAAGTAGTGGCCCTTGGTGCGGCTTATAAGTTTTTTATGCTGCATAGACTTGAGTAAGCTGGTGATGCGCAGAAACTCAATAACCTAAGTTATGAAGCAGGTATTCTTTATTACAGTGTCGGGCACATACGGGATATCGCCTGGAAATACAAGAGTGCTGGTGATGGGGAAACTTGGACATATACGGACTGCCTACATGTATATTCATGCATTCAGCACATCTCTCTGGTGGTCCTCAGGTGCACGCCAGTGGTCTTCCTGAGGAAGGCTGCAAGTCTACCTCGGTCACAAACTTTCGACCTCTTCAGCCTGGTGCCTCGGCTCCTGCAGCAGCCGGTCCCCGGGCAGCTCTGCAACCAGAGCTCCTGCTCTCCTGCAGCTTACACACCCCCCTTCCGGACCAACAAAACAATTCTGAAATTTACAGCCCCCTTCCGGAAAAACAAAGCAATTCTGAAACTTACATCCCAAACTACCGGACACAACCAACCCCCCAAACTACAGAACACAAACAACTCTCAAATTTATACCCCAGCCTACCAGCTTCTGCATATCACTGGTTACTACCACGCTTCTCAATTTTAATAAAAACAGCAGCTACACAGCAAAGGTGTAAAGCTGAATTAAAAGAGCAGGAGGAGACCTTTCGTTACCTTTCCACGCTACACCTCACCCAGTTGTGAACAGAATACAGAGAGATGGCGGCACTAAATGAAACAGCACTGCAGCAAC